GGCGGGGGGGGTGGTGCTAGCCAGTGGTGAGCGGGTGGGCACTGCCCCAGGGAGCCCAGAGTTGACTGCAGCCAAGGGTGATGACCTCCTTCCCAGCCCACTCTGGCTGAGGGGGCAGGGCTCAGGCAGGCACAGGAGCCAGCCAACCCATGGGAGCTGAGGGGGGTCAGAGTTGCTGGAGTGGGCACTGGGAGCAAAGGCTATTTATCATCCAGTATGAAAATATTTAAGAAGCCCTGGTAGCACAATGGGTAAAGTGCTCAGCTGCTAACCAAAAGGTCAGTGGTTTGAACCCATCAGCCGCTCCGTGGGAGAAAAGACCTGGCAAGCTGCTCCTGTAAAGATTACAGCCTAGGAAACCTATGGGGCAGTTCTACTCTGTCCTATAGGGTTGCCATGAGTTAGAATTGACTCTGCGGCACACAACAACATGAGAGTATTTCAGTATTTTAACAGTGGGTGTGGCCACACCGTAAGCCTGCTAAATACCAGCCCTGGTGGGTGGGAGTGGGGGAGCAGGCAGAACCAGGCCTGAGACCCTGAGCAAGCTCTCCACCTGGAGAACATCTGGGGTCGTCCCAGAGCCCCTGGGAAACGAGATGCCTACCTGCCAGCACTTCATCATCTGCCTGCCCACCATGGGGCATCTCCCCATGGGTGAACACTTCCCACATGAGCACACCGAAGGCCCAGACGTCAGACTTGGTAGAGAAGTCGCCCTCCAGGATGGCCTCGGGGGACATCCAGCGCAGCGGCACCCAGGCCTGACGGAAGTGGTAGTACTCACTGCAGGGGAGAACCATACACAGGCACAGGGTAGGGTCAGGGACACAGCCTGGGATGCCAACATCATCCCAGGTCTGGGTCTTACCCCCAGGCTTGGGTGCAACCTTTCTACATCAAGGCACTCACAGACAGTGGTAATATTGATGCTGAGCGTGGGGTAAATGGATGACATCTGGAGGCATCCAAATGGGGTTTGATGGTTAAAAAATTCCATTAAGAATCAGACTGGCTAAATGTCAATATCAAAAAGCCAATAATAAATGCATCAATCAAAAGGTAACAATTAAGAAAATATGTTTGATTTAGTAACACCTAATATCAGATGGAAGTCCCTGGGTGGTGCAAGCAGTTAACGCGTTTGGCTGTAGAGGTGTCTCTGAAGAAAGGGCGGCAATCTACTTCTAATCAGCCATTGAAAACCCAATGGAGCACAGTTCTACTCTGACACACATGGGGTCACCATGAGTCGAGATGACTCGAACGCAACTGGTTTAATACTAGATGATGATGAAGATAAAGATAATAATCAAGTATACTTTCCACACTGGGTGAAAAACAAGAACATGTTAAATGGAGAGAAAATGTAAATATTTTATATACCCACACAAGAGCTTGACCAATGATAAACCAATCATGACTAAAGCAGCAGTCAGATGAACTGAGGTGAACGAGGGGAGCTCCCAGGAGGGGCTCTGAGTTTTACGTCTTAGGCATCAAAATAATAATTACGAGATTTGGGAAGTTATAGAAGGAGCCATACAAACAGTTAAATTATATATAAAATGTTGCAAAGTTTGTATAGGAGCACTGGTGACACAGTGGTTAAGTACTCAGCTGCTAACCAAAAGGTCGGTGGTTTGCATCCACCAGCTGCTCTGTGGAAGAAAGATGTGGCAGTCTACTTCCATAAAGATTTACAGCCTTGGAAACCCTATGGGACAGTTCTAATCTGTTCTACAGGGTTGCTATGAGTAGGAATCGACTTAATATGAATGGGTTTGGTTTAGTTCGGGTTTTAAGTTTGGATAGTTTTTAAACAGTAGGTTTATAATTTTTTATCACTAGAGAAAATTTAAGGAGCCCTGGTGGCACAATAAGGAGCCCTGGTGGCACAGTGGTTAAAGCTAACCCAAACGTCAGTGGTTCAAAACCACCAGTGGCTCTGCGAGAGGAAGATGCGGCAGTCTGCTTCCATGGAGATTTACAGCCTTGGAAACCCTATGGGGTTGCTATGAGTTGGAGTCAACTTGACAGCAGTGGGTTTGGGTTTTGCTGGTGGCACAATGGTTAAGCACTCGGCTCAAACTCACCCAGCAGCTCTGTGGGAGAAAGACCTGATGGCCAGATTTCATAAAAATTACAGCCTATGGGGCAGTTCTGCTCTGTCACAGGGGGGTCGCTATGACTCAAAATCAGCTCAAAGACACGTAACAACAACAACAACAGAGAAAATTTACAACCGCTGGGGACTCAGGGCCCATGGATTGGAAGCCTGTTGCACCTTTAGAAAGAGGACGGGAAAGTTCTGCTCCCTCCTGGATCCTCCATCTTTGGACTAAACAGGCAGTAAGCCCTTTCCCGGAAACCCTAGTGGCGTAGTGGTTAAGTGCTACAGCTGCTAACCAAAAGGTCGGCAGTTCGAATCCACCAGGTGCTCCTGGGAAACTCTATGGGGCAGTTCTACTCTGTCCTATAGGGTTGCTATGAGTCAGAATCGACTTGATGGCAACAGGTTTGGTGTTGATTTTTAAGGCCTTTCCCGCATCCCTTAAACTGTGTTTGCCCTCTCCCCCTTGCCCTGTGGGAAGGAGTGGTGAGCCCTCGCCCCACCAGTACCATTCTACCTGTTGTATACGTCCTTGCTGAGCCCCAGGGCCGACACCTTCACCTGTCTCTGGGCGCTGACCAGGCAGTTGCGAGCGGCCAGGTCCTTGTGCACAAACCGGTTGTTGGACAGGTGCTCCATGCCCAGGGCGACCTGGGTACACAGGGCCACCTGGAACAAGAAAGATATTCGTCAGGGCCACCCAGGACGGGGGGATCAGGGCAACCACCCCCCAACATGTCCCTTGGTAGGGTCTCAATGCCATCAGTGTGATGCTTAGGATGCCCAAAATCAAACAGTTACCACAATAGCCTCAGTTTCCTTCTCTGTATATTGGGGATAATAATAATACCTGCCTCAGTGGGTTGCTGGAAAAGTGAATTAATTTCAGTGTGTGGCACCACCTGACATAGAAAGCGCTAGACTGAGTGAGAGGCACACAGGGTGTGGACAGAGTGCATAATAACCACTTGTAGAGTGAAAACTAACTGGTCAGTGATCACAGCTTACCTCCTTAGGGGCTGTTTCTTTTCCTTTTCTACTTCAGAAGAATATAATTTCTACTATTTGTGTAAAAAATATTTAAAACATGTGTATAAATATATTACGTGTGTATGTGAGTGTGTGGATGTACATGCACACTCAAAACTGGTTGCCTGAGGGGAAGGGAACTAGGGGGTAGAAGGGAGAAAGGCAGGGAAACTTTTGGCTTACATTTTTAAAATTGTGAAATACAACAGAAAAGCTCATCAAACATATGTAGACTTTCACATAATTACAAAGCTAACACCAAAGTAACAGCCACTAAGTTAAAAAACAAAACAACAAAAAACAAAGCTAGCACTCCAGAAACCCCTAAGAGTCCTTTCCCAATCATACATTCTCCTTTTCCTCAAGAGGTAGCCACTATCCCAACTTTTGTGATAATAATTTTTTTTGCTGTCCTTTATAGCTTGACCATTTACACATATGTTCCTATCAGTAGAGTTCAGTTTTGCCTGTTTTTGAACCAGATAAGGCTGGAAGAATACAATATGTATACTCCTTTATGCCTTGATTCTTTCACTCAACATTGAATGGATTCATCCATTTCTTTGTTATAGCCCTGTACTTATTTTTCACTGCTATTTAGTTTTCCATTATGAATATACCATAGGTTAATCATTCTAATGCCAAAGGATATCTGGGATGTTTCCAGTTTTGGCTAGTAAGACCAGTGCTGCTATTAACGTTCTCTCATAGATGTACACACGTTTCTCCAGGATACCTAGGGATGGGTCATGGAATACGAGTATCTTTAGCTCTATAAAATAATGTCAAACTATTTTTCAAGGTGTAAGAGAGTTGGGAAGAAAGATTTTTCACTGCTAACCCTTGTTTGAATTTTAAGTGATGTAAGTGTGTATTAACATTAAACGTAATTATAATTAAATTATTTCTACATTTTAAGGTATACGTTAATGCACTAAACAAATATTACTTAAGCATTTACTGCATGCCATACAAATGTAACAGGAATGACCAAAGCAGGGCTCCTGGTGAGAGGACAGCCCAGCGGGAGATCAGAATTGTACCCAGAGAAGGGCACCACCAAGGAAAATGAGGTCCAGGCAACAGAGAGATAAACCCAGTGTGCCACGAGAGAGCTTGTAAAGAGACCTCTGACCCTTTCACCTCTGTTGCCTGGGGCATTTCTTTGGATGTAAAAACCAAGCAAACAGAGATGCAAAGAGTTTAAGTAACTTGTGGAAGGTTATTTAACAAGTTACTGGCCAGCTGTGTGTTTCTTCCCCCACACAGACTCACTCTCAGGATCCACACAGACTCACTCTCAGGATCCACATGGAAGAAGTCACCCACCGCATAATGTAGTCATTGAGGGATGAAGATAAGAATGTGGCCAATAACCAACGTCACCGGTGAGCAAGGAAATACAAATCAAGAACCAATGATGTTATCACTTTACACATATTCAAATGCAAAAGTTCAAAAGTCGGTCTCCAACTTATATCAAATGGTTCAGGAAAAAAATGCCTGATGGTTAGGTGTGGTTAATTTAACTCTGTGCTCCTGAGGTTCAAAAAGAAAAAAGTCAATAGGGGTGGCAGAGGGGGCTGCTATCAAGTCACCAGGGATGACCAGTTCTAATGCAAGTAAGAGACCACCTAATCAGAGAAGGGAAAGGGGTCATTTGCTGAGCACCTACTTTGCGCTGGGCCCTGTGCGGGGTACTCATCCTCACATCCACTTTGGAGGCAGGCCTCATCCTCAACTTTGCCTAAGGCCCCCAGCCAGGCTTTACACCCAGCCCACTTTCAAAGCCTGGCTCTTTCCTCAACACCGCAGTCGCTCTCATGGTTCACACTGCTGGTGATGGGGGCACAGGAAGGGCTATCTGCCCACCAGTGAACCCAGAGGAGGGGCTATTGGTAAGGAACTAGCTCTTCAAGCACCCCTCACTGGCTCAGAGCCACCTCACTAAACTGGCCCCAGGGTTACAGCATGGTTGGCAGAGGAGCTGAGCCCAAACGCTGGGAGAGGGGTTGCTCCAAAAGCAGGTTCTTCTCAGCCTTATTTGCAGTGGCCAGTAACATCCCTGCTTGGCCCCGTGCCTCCACTGGTGGTTTTCTAACTGTGGGACACAACCTATTAGTATGTTATAAAATCAAGTTAGTGAGTCTTTGTTATTGGTGGTATATGCTGTCAAGTCGATTCTGACTCAGTGACCCTACAGGACAGAGTAGAACTGCCCCCATAGGGTTTCCTAAGCTGTAATCTTCCCGGGAGCAGATCGCCAGGTCTTTTCTCCCACAGAGCCACTGGTGGGTTTGAACCGCTGACCTTTCCGTTAGCAGCCGAGCACTTTAAATTGTACCATCAGGGCTCCTTAGTGTGTCTTACAGAAAAAAACAAACAAGAAAACCATTGCCCCCACGTGGATTCTGACTCACAGGGACCCTATAAGACAGAGTAGAACTGCCCATAGGATTAGTGAGTCTTAGCCAGCATTAAAGGAAAAAGAAAAGAAATGGAATGGAAAATATCAGAGTGCATCACACTTACACAGTAAGCATAAGTCTCATTTATGAAAGTTTTGATTCTTTTTCTATGTAGATACGTGTGTACTGGGTTCTGATACAAAATGAACTCTTACTACTGTGGGACTCACTCAAAAAAATTTAAAAACATTGGTCTAAACTTGTGCTGTCCAATCCAGTAGCCACTAGCCCCATGTGACTATTTACACTTAAATTAATTAAAACTTAGTAAAATTAAAAATTTAATTCCTCAGTGGCTCTAGTTACATGTTAAGTATTCAGTAGCTGTGTGGGGCTAGCGGCGGCTGTACTGACAGCACAGATACGGAACATTTCCATCATGGCAGGAAGTTCTAATGGACAGAACCGATCGAATCCACCATCAGACTGGACCTGTCTCCACAGCCAGTGTACTGGCTGACACTGCATTAAGCAGAGGTGCTCAATGAATGACACCATTCGAGTTAGAAAAAAATCTCATCTTCTCAGTGCAGTACTTTATCAAAAGCGAGGACACAAAATCTCTGGATAGCTTCCAACCAAACGTGTTTAGCCCGTGAGGAGAGTTAAAGAAGAGGTCAGGTGAACCATCTGCCGTATTACTGAGCCCCACTAGGTGCAGAGCCCCACCCACACTGGGTCTTTGGGGGAAAGTAAGGCCATAGTAGGGCTACATCCTCCAAAGCACCCCTCCCCCAAGAATGCCTTCCTCAGAATGCCCCAAATGCCACTGGTGATAAGCGGCCAGATGACCACTAAAGTGGTCATCGTAAATGGAACCAACTCTATTTCAGGAGTCAAAACCCCAGGGCATTGTCCAGGTTTGCCTGGTTATCTTTAAGTGGCAAACAAAGGCTTTTATAATGTGCCCTCCCTCATCAGACATGCAATTCCCCTCATCCTGCTCTCTGATCCCACTGGCTCACAAACAATCTGTGGCTAGTCAAGGGAACCAAGAAGAGTGTGGACTTGGCATGGTGATTAACTTGCTATCGTTCCGGGAAGGCAGTGCTTCTGAAGTACTGGCTAAGCAAGGACAGAAGAAGAGAATTCTGTTACACTCAAACCAGACCCACCACTTCCTTATCAACTTCAGTACCCCAAGGGCTTGCCCAAATTCTGGCTAGCCCACTGTGACACTATTGAGCTCTTCTCACAATAGGCTTTCTGTCTCTGAATAGGCACAAAGCATGGCCCACCAGGTGTGCGAAGCTGATCCTGCTCCTCAGCCGTGTCATTAGCTTGTAGTTGATCCGTGGAGAAACAACTACAGTTTTCCGATTTCAAATCTCCATCATCTTATCAGCTACTCTAACAAGCACTGCCTACAATTATGCCAACACCCAGGGCACGTGTCTTTGATTTCTACCACTATCCCATCGCTATCTTGAAAATCTTCTGGGGCTCCCCCTGGCCCACCCACAGCAAGCAGGGTACCCTTGTTCCATCTCCAGCTGGCCAGGGAGTATCCTGCCTACCTCTCCACCTCCCTTTAAAAAGGTAACTTTTAGCACAACTTGATGGTGCCCAGCTACCACCACAGACTGCTCTGACAGGGATCACAATAGAGGGTCCTGGACAGGGCTGGATAGTAATGTAGGACAAAATTCAAACTCACAAAAAAAGACTAGACTTACTGGCCTGACAGAGACTGGAGAAACCCCAGGAGTATGGCTCCCAGATACCCTTTTAACTCACTCCTGAGGTTTACCCTTCAGCCAAAGATTAGACAGGCCCATAAAACAAAATGAGACTAAATGGGTTCACCAGCCCAGGGGCAAGGACAAGAAGGCAGGAGAGGACAGAAAAGATGAACGAATGGAAATACAGAACCCAAGGTTGAGAAGGGGAGAGTACTGACAAGTCGTGGGGTTGGCAACCAATGTCACAAAACAATATGTGTATTAATTGTTTAATAAAAAACCAATTTGCTGTATAAACTTTCACTTAAAACAGAATAAAATAAGTATAATAATAATAAAAAGGTAGCTTTTCCTCCTTCCATTCCCCCAGGACCCTAGCAATATAAACTGACAGGGCAGCTCGCTGAATTATTAGCACAAGAAAATACTGCAAGTTTTAGTTTATCTTTCCTAAGAATTTGCATTTTCACAGAATCTCCAGAAGCAGAGCTTTTCAAACTGCTGATGGAGACCAATGGGGTCAAGACTAATTTAGCAGGTCAACACTATCATTTAAAAAAAAAAGGATACGAAGTATCTGAATGCATCAAACACAGTTTTGTGAAAGTTTAATTTTAGCTACACGTGTGTATATGTATGTGTATGCTAAGGAGCCCTGGTGGCGCAATGGTCAAGCACTCGGTTTCTAACTGAAAGGTTGGCGGTGCTAACCCACCCAGCAGCTCTGCAAGAGAAAGATCTGGTGATTTGCTCCCATAAAGATTACAGCCTAGGGAGACCCTATGGCGCAGTTCTACTCTGTCACATGGGCTCACTATGAGTTGAAATCAACTCAACCGTACACAACCACAATACATGTGCTGGGTCACAATGTAAAATTTCTCATAGGGATCTTAATCAAAAAAAGCTTCAATGCTGCTGTCCTACAGTAGGGTTCCTCGAACCTGAACTTAAGAAGCAGCTGGAGGGCTTGTTTGAAAAAGGTCCTCAGGCCCCACTATCAGAGACTGTGATTCCTTTGCTCTGAAGTACGGTCCAGAAATCAGCATTTTTTTTTTTTTTTTTTTAAAGCAAACTGCTCATCTGATGCAGGATATTGTCCTTACAGAGTATCGGGCCCAACTTATTGAAGTTCCCCTGTCCCACTTAAGATATTATGGCCAAAAAGCATGGGAGAGATTTTTAGCAACGGTAGTGATGGCTTTCAGCCAAATAAAATCCCTCAGGTCATGTACTGGGGGTGATTGACTTCCTGTTGGCCTGTGGACATCCCCGTCCCAGCCACAGAAATCCACCTTGACTCCCCTCTCTCTTGAAGCAGTCCCCTTCCTGCCATTCAACTACTTCCTGTCCTTGAGAAGTAAACTCAAAACGAACGGCTTTCTCTACCAGGAAACCTTCTTTGTTAGCCACAACTGTATGTCCACCCTCCTCCTGGATGTCTTCAACGTCTCTCATTTGTGTGTCTTCCTCACTTTAGGTATCTTACCTGAAGCCTGGAGGGCATATGTCATGCTCACGTCCCTAACCTCCCCCATGGATTGCAAGTGACCCAAGGGCACCATGCCAGTCAGTTTCAATTCTGCATCCCAAGTGCCCTTAGAGCCATGCCTGGCTCTGTAAAGACAGGGTGGCTCCATGAGTAGACTGATTTGTCAGCTCTGGGGGCCTGAAATCCCCCCTAGCTGGAGTAACATGTCCTGTCCTGTGGTTCCCAGCTGCAGCCACTGTAGACCATTCGTGCAGCTTCTCAGGGGCAGAGAGAGGGGTGCGGTGTGGTGTGGGAAGACCAGCTCTGAGTGACCTTGGGTCAGGTCCAGGCCTTAGTAAGTTCACCTGTAATGGGAGGGGGCTGGCCTGGAGGATACTGAGCTCCTTCCCCAGAGAGGCCAGGGTCCCATTCTCCCGACTGATCAAACAGCTACACGTTTCTGCTCTGCCCTCCGTCTGGGACCTGGGTCAGACTACAAGTGCTGGGAGGGAGGACCCTAGTGGTCTGGGCTTACTGTACCCTGAGCTTTTATTGGTTTGTGAGATTACCAGGCTTTCAGCTTGGAACAGGGCTTTGACTAGGTTCATTCCAGTTCAAGCCCCTGCTGAGAATTTGCCTTTCCACCCTAGGTATACTGAATCAGAATCTATACTTGGGATCTTGTTAAAATGTAGATTCTAATTTAGTATATCTTGGGTGGACAGGCAAATTCTCAGCGGGGGTTCAAACTGAAATGAACCGGTTCGAAGCCCTGGCTTAGAAGGAGAACACCATACCCTGTGGAAGGAGGTGGATCCGTTTCAGAGGTGAGGGAAGGAAGCTGTGGGCAGGAAGAGCCTGAAGGAAGAAAGAAGGAGCTGGACCACAGAAAACCCCAAGAATAAGTACCGGCTGAGGTAGGCAGGGCGCAGACCAGTCTTCCCTTCTTCACTGTTTCCACCCAGGCCTGCTCAGCCACGGGGCCCAGCCAGGGCTCTGTGCCCAGAACAACCCTTTGCCCCAGAACATAAAGAGAACCGGAAGGAAAGGCTGGGCAGCCCACAGCCCTAGAGCAAAAGTGTGAAAACCACAGAGAGTGAAAGCTGGCAGCTTGTTCAAGGCCACACCCAGCACAGCAGGCCCCTGGGGACTTCTCTGTCTGCTTCTGCCTGCTACTTCTGCCCCAGGCTACTAGAGAGCAGCTGTCTTGACTCAAGCACCTCTTCTACATGAAGGCAACTCAGCAAAAAAGAGCTGCTTTTAGGCTACCTGATTTGGACAAGTCACTTAACCTCTCTAAGCCTCAGTTTCTTCATCGGCAATGTGGGTACAGTAACATATATTTCAAGGGCCTGGTGATCTGTTTCCGCAAAGATTCCAGCCGAGAAAACCCTATAGGCAGTTCTACTCTTCACATGGCATCTCTATGAGTCGAAATCAGCTTGATGGCCCTTAACAACATATATATCAGACGATGCTTGTGATAATCACGGTAAAGCGCTCACCGCAGGACCTGACAAAGCACTGAATAAATGGTACTTCTATTACCGTGACTGCCCTTGCTCCTGGCCCCCCACTCCCCGCCCTCCTGTCCTCACCTTCTGCTTGGTGCTGAGGGGCTGTGACTTCAATTTCTCATCCTTGCTCTTGGAAATCCTCAGGAACTGTTTGAGGTCTCCCTAAGGGAGAACAAAGCATTGCTGTCAGGTTGGAGCCTGACTGGCTCTAAAGCATCCAACTGAACAGGTGATCACAGAGTTCCTGCCCGGAGAGGCAGTGAGAAGTCCCGACCATCCCCATGAGGAAAGCCCCGTGGGAATTTAAAAAAAAAAAACAAAGGAGAAAGGGAGGAGGATTGTCATTTCCACCTTCACGGGAGCTCCCAGCAGGTGGGGTGATGACAAGGCCCCTGCCCTCAGGAAGCCAAAAGGAAAACACAGTCCTCCACCCCCTGCCCCTCCCCCAGGGGAAAAGCCCATTCTCCAGGGTTTGTTTGATTGATTCTTTTAATCTAACAGACATACACAAATAGGGGAGAACACCAGCAACAGTAACACCCATAAAACATTCATAAGGACTGGTTAATGGAAAGATGAAGAATTAACCCCTTCCCACCTCAGAGCTAGGGAATTTGATAAATAGTTTGAGGACCAAGGGGATTAGGCCTCAACCAGTTGGGGAATGAAGAGTAAGGGGCTGATCTGGGAATGGCAGCTTGGATGGAGAAGAGGAGGCTGGTGACTGGGCCAACACCAGTGCCACAAATGGTACTAGGGTGCTGAGGGAGGACGGAAAGGCTGGGTCGGGTAAGTTTATTCCTAAGAGGTGATGAGCCCTGAGGAAAAGGAAAGACGGCAAATTAAAGGAAAACCAGGTCAAGGAGGAAGATCAAGGAAGGCATCTATGCAGAGTGTGGTATGAGAAGCCCAGGAAGAACTCTGGAGCAGCCCCAGACACAGGGGAGACAGGAGAGAGAGGGCGTTGATACAGCGGGGCAGGTGCAGAGAGCTGGAGTGCAGGAAGCTAAGCACCTCCAGGAGGCGACAGCAGGCAGGCCGAGGTCTCGGCAAGACCACGCGAGACGAGGTTTCCACAGTGCCCCAGGCCCCCCTCCCCACCCTCCCAGGGCAGTGCCCCGACCCCCAGGCCCCTGCCGGCCACATACCAGGTCCACATACTCCAGCACCATGTAGTGGGGCTCGGCTTCCCGGCAGAGCCCCAGCAGCCGCACCACGTTGGCATGGTTCAGCTTCCCAAACATCTCAAACTCCCTCCGGAAGTCCAGCTGCTGCTGCTCGTCCCGGCTCTGCAGGCTCTTCACAAGCACCAGGGTCTCTGCTACCCCCTCCTCTAAGCCCTGTGCCTTCGCCAGGAACACCTCTCCAAACTCACTTTTCCCTGCGGGTACAGGTCTGAGTCAGCCAGCTGCCCTCCTCCAAGCAGAGGAAGCCCCCCAACTTGGGGTGCGTAGTCTAACCTCTCCATGTCATGTACTGGGGACTCTGCTGCACCCCACCCCTGGAATGGGCACTAGCTCTGGTTCTGCTGTGTGAGCCTGAACAAACGGCTTCCTGCCTCCCTGGGCTCCAGGGTCTCCAATAGTAAAATAAGGGGTTGGACTAAAATTCAGTGTTTTCCATAGGGTGGTTTGCATGATAATTTTAGGTGGCTGATGATAAACATGTTTTATCGTTGTATGTTTTAATACATACTAAGGAAAAACTTAACTAGCACTAATCCATAATTTCTCCCATTTTTTCCTAGAATAAAGCTAACTGTATTTAAGTTAAAAAAAAAAAAAAAAGAACTAATTTAAATACAAACATCAAGTAAAAAGTACTACAGGTAGTACAAGTAGTACAGGATTGACAAACCCTGCAGAGGTAGGTCATGAACAATACCGCTTGGGGACACAGTGGACTGGAAGATCTCATTATGCTCCCCTCCACCAGCCACAGCTCTTAACCACTATGCCACTAGGGTTTCCTTTAAATACAAACATTAAATAAAAAATACCATAGGAGTACAAGATTGACAAACCCTGCAGAGGCAGGTTGTGAACAATAGGCCTTGGGGACACAATGGACTAGAAGATCTCATTATGCTCCCCTCCACCTCACAGTCTAGATTTCAGGACTCAGAGCCACCAGGCCATAATCCAGCCTCAAGACAGACTAGTGGCTTGCAGTTAAGCAGGGGGCGCTGTAGCCAGGGCAACATACCCAGTGTGGTGATAGGCTGCAGGCTGGTCCGTGGGAAGTACATCTTATCACTCGTGCTGTGGCGTTTGTTGGTGGCTGCTGGGCCAGAGCCCAAGCTGGTCAAGGCCACTTCTTCTTGGATCTCTGCCGAGGGCTGCCCATTCTGCAGAGGCCCGCCTGGGAAGAAGGGGCATGGGTGAGCAGAGAGGAGACCTGACACGCTGGTCACCACAAGGACCTCAGTTCTCTCTATTTCTCTCTTTCACCAAGATGGATCAAATCCCAGCACTCCACATGAAAAGAGCCAGTCCAAGTGATGAACCAATGGGGCTGGAGGAGTAGAGGAGACGGGCATTCCTTAGAGTATGACCACTTACTGATGCAGCTGATTAACTGCCGTCAAGTCGTCTCCAACCCATGGCAACCCCATGTGTGTCAGGGTAGAACTGTGCTCCATAGGGTTCTCAATGGTGGATTTTTAGAAAGTAGATCACCAGGCCTTTCTTCCAAGGCGTCTCTGGGTAGACTTGAACTGCCAACCTTTTGGTTAGCATACAAGTGTGTTAACTGTTTGCACCACCCAGGGGACTCCTAAAACCAGCTGCCATCAAGTCAACTCTGACTCATGGAAACACCATCTGTGTGGGAGTAGAACTGTGCACCATAGGGTTTTCAATGGCTGATTTTTCAGAAGTAGACTGCCACCCAGGAAGTTCAATGCAGCTGATTTCAACCTCTGAAATTGAACACACTGCAGAAGTCTAATCAGCATCATCGGCCCCTGAACACCACATCTCTGTAAAGGTTTTTGCATTCATAGAGCCTCCTGTGTGCACAGCCCTAAGCTGGCACAAGGGGAAATCACAACAGTGGAGACCCGGGCCCTGCTTCTGAATGTCTAAGCTGATAAGAAAGACCCAGGCACTGCTCCCCAGAAGCTCCTAGTCTGGGGTGGGGGGAGGGAGTAATAAGACAGAATGTCCTTGCGGAAACTCCCAGATTAATGGGGGGAGACAAAATGCCAACAGAAATATGTATACATACACATATAATTACATTTGGGGTTTAGTGCTAGGGGAGGAGAAGGCAGGGAAACATAGGAAGCTGGTCCAAGGGGCTCCAAAGTGGAAGTCTTAAGCCAGGTTGCTCAGAAGCCAAGGCCCTGGTACTTGGCCAACCCCTGCTTCCAGCTAGGGGTGGGACAGCTCTGCTGCAGCCGCGCGAAGACCCAGTGCAGCAGCCTACTTCCTGCAGTGCCACAGCAATGCCCCCACAGCCGCAGGAGGGCACTGGGTACCTGCACACCTGCACCACTGCCCACCTCGACGGGCCCCTCACCATTGAGGCACTCCATCTCGGGCTCCTCGCCCTCCGGCTGCTTCTGAAGACGCTTGGCCTTGCAGCGTTTTTTGCAGTAGAACATGAGGCCCAGCACAGCGATGATGTAGGCCACAGCAGCGCCCACCGACAGCCCGATGGTCTGGATCATCTTGTAGGGCGGAGGGCTGCCCGGGCCCTCCGACTCCTCCAGCACCGGCTTGTCTGAGAGTACACAGAGAGGTCTGGGCAGGGGCCGCGGGTGGACACAAGCCCCACTTCTCTACTAGCCCCTCCCCACCCCACACATAGGATAACCTCCCAGACACTCAATGGCCTAACCAAGCCAGAGAGGGCTGGGAGGGAGACGTCCACCTTCACTGGCTTTACCAAGGGCCAGCTCCTTGTGCCCCACCAAGGTCATAGGGCAGCTCTGAAGGGGTTGAAGCCAGTGATTATCAAATTGGTTGGGGACACCTGTAAGGGTGCTGCCACAAACTCACACTAGTTTTTAACCAGCTTCCTGAGTGACTTCATATTGTAAGGCAGGCCCTGGAGAGTACCATTTGGGAATGTCTGGTTTAGAATCCTAGACGTTGCCCAAAAGAGAGCAGATTTCTCCATAAATGTACTTGTAGACAGGATTTTCTGTTCTGGGGGCTTTTGATGGCCTCTGGGGAGCCCTAGGGTCCCACAGCGAGAGAGGTCACAGGAGACACTGGGGGGAACTGAGAGAGAGAGGCCAAGGGCGAGGTCACGTAGGATCCCCCAACTCCCACACACACCCCAACGGCTTCAACCAAGGGGCCCGTCACTTCATTCTTATCCATTTGAAGTTCCACATAATACTTTGTCTAGAAAAGCAGTTCTGCTGCTAAGCCTAAAGGTTTGAGAACCTCGCATTTAAACAACTCCTATCTTGCAGATGCAGAAATCAGCCCCCAGAGGGGAAGTAACTCCCCAATAGGCACAGAGCTGGTTAGCAGAAGAGGCCAGACTCAAGCCCCAGGCCCTGACCCTTGCACCTGACACACCATCCTCTCTGGGCCTCCAGGCCAAGGGGACCTTGCTTTGCTTGTGCATCTTGACCTAGCCCTACCCCGCCCACCACGGGTGTGTGTGGATGCTGCAGGGGGCCTGGGAGAAAGCATTTTAGGAAGAGAGCCACCCTCCTCCACCCCGTCAGGCCCCAGCCGTTGAATGTGGAATGTTAAATAAATGACAGCCCACCTCTAAGCAAGGAATGTGAGACTGCACTGGCAGTTGGAGGGGACACCGCTAACGCCCCTCCCCTACCACACAAATGTAAGCACTTCTGTGTACAGGGCGCCAATGAGTACAAAGATGGGTAAGAAGTCTGGCCCCACCACTTCCTGTGCAGGACACCCTCCTCGGCCCGTACCCACGACATAGAGGGGGGCCTCTGTATGCTTGATGTTGCAGCTGTTGCCTGCGATGCAGGTGTAGCGGCCTGAGTCCTCAGGGGCCACGTCATGAATCACCAAGGAGCCATTCTGGAAGATGTGCATCCTGCCGGGAGAGGGGCCACAGTGCTGCTCACCTCGCCAGCTCCCAGGAGTTGAGGCTGCTGGGATGGAGGGGCAGGCGTGGGAGGGAGGTGGCCCTACCTGGGTCCCAGCTTGGCAGGGTCCAAGATGCGGTCTTTGCCTTTCCACTGGATGAGCGGCTTGGGGTCGCCCTGGGCCTCGCAGCGCAGCAGGGCTGTGTGGCCCTGGTACACGGTCGTGCGCTCTGGCTCCACCTTGAAGGTGATGAACACTGAACAGGGGCAGGGAGCAGTGAGTAAATTGTGCTGGTGGAGGCAGGCCGTTACCCACAGGGCCTGCCAGCCCCAGCCCTGGGGCCCGCCACGGTCGCACCTGCCACAGTGAGCTGGACATGGGCCTGGATCTGGCCCTGCGGCCCATTGGAGGCAATGCACGTATAGTTGCCGGCGTCACTGCGGGTCACCCTGGAGAAGTGCAGGGTCCCGGCATTGTCCGTCACCCACTCTGGGAGGCTTCTCCCATCTGTAGGAGCAAGAAAGGGAAATCTGGGGATAGATCGAAGTTACATGGGTGGCTGGCAATGTCCTCAGTCACTTACCTCTACTCAAAACACACTACAGCTCTAACTGCTCACGGACAATGCCTACAAACTTCTGAGCCATGCATGGGAAATCCAGTTGCCACTGAGTTGATTCTGACTCATGGTGACCCCACATGTGTCAGAGGAGAACTGTGCTCCATAGGGTTTTCAATGTCTGATATTTTGAAAGTAGACTGCCGGGCCTTTCTTCCGAGGTGTCTCTGCTGGACTTGAACCACCAATCATTCGGTTACTAGCTGAGCATTAATTGCTTATGCCACCCAGGGACTCCTAGGCATGGGAAGTCCCCCATTATTTACTCCTTTTCCAATTTTTCAGTCTCGCCTCCTTCTACTACCCCGTGTAAAATTCCACTTCTGCCAAACTGGACTTCTGACAGGGTCCAGAATTTGCCTTGTTCTCATCCTCACTGCCCACTGCTCATCACTTCTAGAACCTTTCTGCTCTTTGCCACCATCACAGCTTCAGTTCCATTTGAGATCCATTTCCCACTTCCCTGGAAAGCTCCCCAGAACAATTGAGCAGAGAAAGTCTGCTTCCGCCTAAGAACCTATAACCCTACTCTCTCACTCATAAAAACTGGTCCAACCCTTTAAAAAACAATTTGGCAATGCGCGTCCAGGGTTGTAAAATGTGCACACCCTTTTATACATAATTATTCCATTTCTGGGAATCCCTCCCAATGGAAATAAATCTATATCCAGAAAAAGCTTTGGCTTAAAGATGTTTATTGCAGCAATTAAAAAAAAAAAAAAAGGGGATGATTAACAACCCAAATCTCCAACATTTAGGAAATGTTTAAGTAAATTACAATGAATCCAATCATTGGGGTATTACTGCAATCATCAAAACCAATGTTTATGCAGAGAATGTATAAAAACATGGGCGAATGCTTGATAATGTTAAGTAAAAAAGGATATAAAATTACGTAGTTATCTGCATTTCCTATTTTTTCTATAATAAGCAGGTCTTACTCATATAAGTTTATTAAATGAAAATTATATAGACAGAAAGTTGCAACATAAAAACAAAAAGGTACGCCCAGAAGAAGACACATACCCGAAGATAACAGACAGTGGAATTATGGGTCTGTTGGTTGTTGTCGAATCAATTCCGACTCATAGCGACCCTGCAGAACAGACTAGAACTGCCCCATGGGGTTTCCTAGGCTGTTATCTTTACAGGAGCAGATTGCCAGGTCTTTTCTCCCACAGAGCAACTGGTAGGTTCAAACCGGTGATCTTGTGGTTAGCAGGCAAGCGCTCAACCATTACACCACCAGGGGTTCCGTATTATCGGCCTACTTTCCCCAAGATTTCTTTTTTTACTGTTGTACTTTAAGTGAAAGTTTATAATTCAAGTTAGTCTCTCATACAAAAATTTCTACATACATTGTTATGTGACCCTAACTGCTCTCCCCGTACTGTGACAGCACACTCCTCCTTTCCACCCCTACTTTCTCGTGTCCATTCAACCAGCTCCTGACCTTCTCCCACCTTCTCATCTCACTTCTGGACAGGAGCTGCCCATTTAGTCTCATATATCTACTTAAGCTAAGAAGCACACTCTTCATGAGTATCATTTTATGTCCCATAGTCCAGTCTAATCTTTGTCTGAAGAGCTGGCCTTAGGAATGGTTTTAGTTCTGGGTTGACAGAGTCTGGGGGCTATGCCTTCTGGGGTTCCTCCAGTCTCAGTCAGACCATTAAGTCTGATCTTTTTACTAGAATTTAACTTCTGCACCCTACCTTTCTCCTGCTCTATCAGGGACTCTCTGTTGTGTTCCCCGTCAGGGCGGTCATTGGTGGTAGCCAGGCACCATCTAGTTCTTCTGGTCTCAGGCTGATGAAGTCTCTGGTTTATGTGGCCCTTTTTGTCTCACGCTAATACTTTCCTTGTGACTTTGGTGTTCTTCATTCTCCTTTGCTCCAGGTAGGTTGGGACCAATTGATGCATCTTAGATGGCCGCTCACTAGCTTTTAAGACCCCAGACGCCACTCACCAAAGTAGAATGCAGAACATTTTCTTAATAAACTTTGTTATGCCAAATGACCTAGATGTTCCCTGAAGGCATGGTCCCTAGATCCCCAAGATTTTTTAAAGGAGCTCATGTTACTTTTGGAGTCCCGGGTGCTGCAAATGGGTTAAGCACTCAGCTCCTAACCAAAAGGTTGGAAGTTCAAGTCCACCCAGAGGCACCTTGGAAGAAAACCTGGTAATCTACTTTGAAAAAATCAGCCCTTGAAAACCTATGGAGCACTGTTGGAGTGGACTCAATGGCAACTGGTTTGGTTTTTCGGTTATGTTACTTTTATGTTGGAAAGGAGAGGGAGAAATTTACAGCATTGTCTAGACCCATCACTTGTTGCCTTGAGTCATCCTATATTTTGTCCAGTGTTGTAATTTGACTCCTTTTGTGTCTGGCTCTTTTCTTCCTAACTGGACTACATAAATTGGCCCAACATTTCATGTCTATCCTCCACAGTTCCTGGCATGGCGCTGGGCACTCATGGCCCTTGGACATACACATCTGGTCAGTGGACTACCTTTGCTCCCCCGCATGCCTGCATAGCACCCACCTGTCCGTATCCACTTAATAGTGGGTTTCTCTCTGCCTGTGGCTGAGCAGGACACCGTGGCTTCCTTGTCAAACTCCATGCACTGCTGCGGCTGGGGCGGTGGTGTGAACTTGAGCTTTTCTGTTTCAGTAGAGGGCGGGTGGGGGGAAAGGAGAAACTGAGGCAGCGAGCTAGGCTGAGGACAGGCCTGCTGACCTTGGGATCTGCTACCCCTTCCTCTGCTCTCCTGACCCCCAGGCACAGCACTCTCCCCACTCCAACCTGGCTCACCCAGCACTTGGACGCGGGCTTGGGCCTCAATACTGCCAGCCGGGGTGCTGCTCACGCAGCGGTACCAGGTCCCATCGTATACCTCCACGCTGTTGATGCGCAGGGTCCCATTCTCAGAGACCTCGAACCGTGAGTCCTGTAGCGCATAAGACATGACCATAAGAGGTCTCCTCCTGAGCCCACACCAGCATCTCCCTGGGGGCAACCTCTGAGGAAAGGGAGCCATGGAAGGATTGCAGAGGAGAGCAGCAGGAGGGAAACCCCTACCCACCAGTCACAATCCTCATTCTCACCTCTGAGATGAGCATCTGGTTTCTGTACCAGACAACCACGGGCTTTGGTGTGGCCTGAGTCAGGCAGTGCAAATAGCCAGGCTTGCCCTCCTCCAGCTGGCTGTCTTGGGGCTTCTTCAGCCACATGGGCACAGCTAGAAGGAGAGGGAGAGAACAGTGAAGGCTGATTAAGCTCTGCAAGACCAAAGGCTTCAACCCTGAGAAATTCTAATACCCAATGGGCCCTGAGTCCAGAAACCTCCACTTGTTATATAATAGCTACAGCAGTTACCCCTCACTGAAGGCCTATGTGCTGGTATCTTTTAGACACTGTCCTAGTTAATTGTCACAATAAGTCCTCAAAGTATGTCTTCCTGTACCTATTTTATAGTTAAGAAAACAGAGGCTCAAAGAAGTCATGGTGACTTGCTAATATGCAATAGAAATGGGATTCAAAACTCTGGTCTTCATGACTCCAAAACCCTTGCCCTTTTTATTACACCATAATGCTCCAAGGCTTGGTCCTCAGATCTCTGTTCTGTTTTAGCACACTCCCTCCCTAAATAACCTCATTCAGTCCACGGCCTTTAATACCATACAAGCAGATGACTCCCAAATCTATATCCTGAGCTCAGAGCTTCCCTCATGAGCTTCAGACTTGCAAATCCAACTGCCTACTCGCATCTCCAACTGGAGGTCTAACAGGTACCTCAAACTTAATGAGTCTAAAAGCGAACACCTGATTTCCCCCCAAAATCTGCTCACCTCAACTTTCTCCATCTCTGTAAATAGCAGGAGTCCCTGGGTGGTACAAACGGTTAAGCGCTCAACTACTAACCGAAAGGTTGGTTCAACCCCACTTCTGAAAGGTCACAGCCATTGAAAACCCTATGGAGCAGTTCTACTCTACACACATGGGGTTGACAGGAGTCGGAATAGACTCATTGGCAATGGGTTGATCCAGCCAATTGTGGAAGTCAAAAACCCAGCCTGGACTCGTCCCCACCACCTCCCTTTACCGGCCCAACAGTCATCCCACACAAACTCTATCTACTTGAGCTCCAAGGGTATACAGGTCTTTATCATGTGCACTTCCAGTCTAATTTACTGCATTTTTCCTATCATTTCACAAGCGATATGTTCGTTGTAGAAATTTGGAAAGTATAATCAATTAAAATAACATAAAAATCACCTATAATTTTGTCTACCATCACCTTCCCAAAAAAAGGAAAAGTAAATACCTTTCTCATCTTCTTCATTTGATCTTTCCAACCATCTTGGAAGGTAGGTAGTAGATTACTAGCCCCATTTTATGGATGAGAAGACTGAGCCCTAGCAGAGCGTGAGACTTATTCCCCACAGTCACTCCGTGCGTGCAGTGGTGGCAGAGTGGGACCCAGGTCTCTAGACTCCCCGTCTACTGCTCTTTCCTCTGCAGCCAGCCATTTTTCTGTGAGGGTCGTCACCATTTCCCCTGGTGTACCCGGAACAACCTCTGCTCCTGCCCCTCCACTGTCCACTCCATCACCACCACCTGGCAGCTAACTGATGTCCAAGCCTGCAGGGCCCAGAACGGATAGGGCCTCAGGTGAGCACCTAGGAAGCCTCTGCCCATCACACTATAGCCTGAGACCTCCTGGGGCTGGGCTTCCCCCCCACCACCTCTCCTCGACCTCCAGGGCAAAGGTGCTCACTGGCCACAGTGATGTTGACCTCCTGCTGCCGCTGACCAGCCAGGTTGGCTGCATGGCAGGTGTAGACACCAGCATCACTCTCGGCAGTACTGGTGAACAGCAGCTCGTGGCCCTTCTGGTAGACCCTGCCGTGGCTGGGCAGCTGGACTCCTGCATGTTCCCACCACACCCTGGGCTCCGGCAGGCCCTGGGGGGGCAGGCAGGCCACTCGCTCCTCACTGCCAGCTGTGAACACCCGAGGCTCAAATGGCGGCATATCTTCAATCTCTGCAGGGATGTGAGCAGAAGGGAAACAGCCCGATGACTGTGGGTCCCAGGGTTCATGGTGTTCTCTCACAGTAAGCCTGGCCCTTTCCAGCCACCAACTTTCTCCTATAACCCTCTGCGTCTCCTCTTCCTACCCCCAGCATCCTCTTCCTCCCTCTGGCCTCCAAGTAGCTTTCTGAATGGAGACAGAAACCTAAATATCTGCATGCCAACAGTCCTGAAGGCAGCCCCCACCTCAGCACTCTGGACCCAGGGACCCACCTGCCAGGTGCAGCGTGGCCTCCAGGATGATGGGTGGGCCCCTCTGGCCCTGGCCCACGCAGCGGTACACCCCTGCGTTGCGTGGCCGGACCTGAGTCAGCAGCAGGGAGCCGTTGGCAAACACAGTGGCTCTGCGGAGGTGTGGGGGACTGCAGAGAGGAGAGAGTGCTATTTGGAAAAGTAGCCATCAGCCTCCTTCTGGAGGGGAACATGATGGAACCCCACCTGGCAAAGGTCAAAGATATAGGAAGGAGTTGGCCAGGAACAGGGTAGAGAAGCTGACATTCCACATTAGGAGTGTGAGAGAGTGTGTGTGTGTGTGTGTGTGTGTACCCATGCGTGCGAGTGTGTGTGTGTGTGTGTGTGTATGTGTGTGTGTGTAGGTGCATGTCCCAATTACAAAAGACTTAGCCTTTGGGGCACTGAGGTGAGTGCAAGTGAGAGACAGTGAGGAATCACCAGCATGCAACTGGAGAGGTACCCTCCCCACAAGCCCAAGACAAGGGCGAAACTTTAGACAAGCCTGCTGGAGAGGCACCCAGCTGCAGCAGTCAGAAGCCCTCAGCCACACCAGGTGAACTGTTGATGATGTCCTCAGGGCTGAAGCCAGGTAGGATCCAAGCCCCTAGCCTAGGGGTCTATCTCGAAGGACCACAGCCCTGCATGACACCGCAAAGGCACCTCTCTGCTCCTATAGCGCCTAGGTGAGGCTAGATGTCCCCAGAGAGTAGAGAGGGGCTGGCATCTCCCAGCACCTTCTGGAAATGTTTGCTTCCTTCAAAAAACATGTGTGTGTGTTGTGGGGGTGCAATGGGTGGGATACAGTATCCTTGCCATCCAGGACCTTGCTATATACCTAGGTCCCCCGTGCTGATTCCATCCCTGGATCTTTCCCTACTCAACCCTGAAGGCCCACGTGGGTCGGAACGGAGGAGGCAAGGCAGTAGAGTCATCACTAGCTCATGTAGTGCCGTTCTGTGAATTGGAAAAAGATGCCTTTCCTGGAGACTCTTCTCTTTGTTGGAGAACTGTTATAACAGACTTGTTTATAAAACAGCAAAACAGTCTACTGCCATCTGCTGGAACTTTGAAGTAATACATGCACAACTATGATATCTGTGACATGAATTCCACCCCTTTGCTAATGTGTGTTCAGTACACAACCTGCCCCAATGTACTTGAAGGTTCCCTGCCAGAGGCCTTACCGACTGCGGTTGGTGATGGGAGTGTCATCCTCAAAGAACCACTGCAGGCTCGGGGGTGGCTGCGCTGAGAACTGACAGTGGAACATGGCCTCCTCGTTCCTCGCCACTACCACATCCTGGGGAGCCAGCACCGCCCTGGCAAAGCTCTCATCTGGGGTTTAGCAGCGGGTGTGAGCTGACAGAGTAGGGAAGCCCCTCCCATCCCCCTCACTGCCCCCTTAGCCTCAGGCTCACCAGCAATGCTCAAGGTAAAGTTCTGGCTGCTGCAGGCCTGGCCAAAGGCATTGTGAGCACAGCACGAGTAGAGGCCACTGTGCTCAGGGCTGGCCGGCCGGAGGGTCAGGTTCCGCTCCTTGCTACTGACTGTGTGGTTGCTCTGACCATCGGAGAGGGGACTCCCATCTCGAAACCACTGGTAGGTGGGCCTGCGGGGCAGAGGGAGTCAGCAGTAGGGAGAGGGGGTGCTCAGGTGGCCAGCGGAGAAGACACAGAATCGGGGTCAGGGGTGGACCCCTCAGTGTGCAAATGGGGAAACCAAGGCCTGAGGAAGGGAAATGACTTGCACAAGGGCACATAATAATTCACAATCAAAGTCAGGTTGAGATTCTAGATCTCTTGGCTTCCAGAATCCAGGATCAACCCCTTAGCATAGTGTTACCCCACCTTAGGTCCTCCGGGGTTAGTTTGGCGCACCATTTGGGGAGGGGTGAAGAGCACTGTGGCAGTGGGCCAGGTGGCGGTTACAGAATGAAGTGAGGTCCATCTGAACAGAATCTAGGATTTGTCTAGGAAACCCTCCCCATCCCTACCCTCAAAGTCGGCCTCCACCATGTGGGGTCAGCCTTGGCTTCTTACCGAGGGTGCCCATCAATGTGACAACGCAGTGTGACCTGGATCTGTGGCTGGATCTCGGCTTCCGAGGCAGGGTGCTTCAGGACCACGGGACCCGCCTCAATCCCTGCAGCAGAAGCCACAGGTGCAGAGTGAGGGGCAGAGAAGAGCAAGGGCGGGGGATGGGCAGAGGGGGAGAGGGACAGTAGGAAGTGATGGGAGCCTTGAGGCACTGATGTCAAGAGAAATAGTGTGTGGAAGCCTGTGAAGCTGAGGCTGGGGCTTCTGGGCAGGGTAGGGGGCAGGTACCAGATACCAAGTGCCCACTTGCTCTCTGGCGGGTCAAGCCTGGTATTTTGCCAAGTTGCCTTACTGTCCTTTCCCATTTGCAAAAGCATCCAGCAGATAAAGGGGCTCAAGACTTGACGGAAAAAAAAAAAGCTTAAAAAAAAAAAGAGACTTTGAACTTTCTCTTATCCACATTCTGCCTCTTCTCTGCCTTCTGCCTGCCCCATTCAACTGGAAATAGGAGAAGCTAAGGCAAAGGAGGGGACCTCCAGGGCTCAGTCGTTGGTGTATGATGAGGGGCCAGGGAGAGCCCCCCTGAGTCTCACATTTGATGTTGAAGGAGGCGTTGGAACTGCGGGCTTCCTCTCCAGTGGTGTCATCCCGAGCCACGCACTGGAAGGTGCCGGAGTCCTGCAGCCGGTCCACAGCCACAAAGCTCAGGCTGCTGCCCTGGGCAAACCGCCGTTCTGTGTCCTGGACAGGAGCCCCGTTGAGCAGCCAGTACACGTGCACTGGGCCCGGGGCATCGACCTCACAGCGAAGCAGCGCCCGGCGCCCCTGCAGTGCATCCTGCGAGGACGGCTCCTTGATGAAGACAATGGCCATCTGGGCACCTGCAGATGGGGTCACAGGAAGAGGCTGGGTCAGGAAAAGCTACAGCGGCTGTCCTGACACAGGCCACCAATCACCCTGTGCACAGGGGGAGGAAAGGGGCTAGGTACACAGGAGGCGTCCAATAAGTGCTGGTGAGAAGGAGCATAATACCACAATTAACAAGTGTCCACAGGAGAACGTTTACACTGTACTGGGTGCTCTGCAGGGTACATATATGTGGTACCCTCCATCAGCAGCACATTAGTCTGGCGGGGACACAGGATAATCACACAGGACGTGGCTAAGCTCAGATATCAAAACCCAAAAAAACCAAACCAGTTGCCGTGAAGTCAATTATGACCACAGTGACCCCATGTGTTTCAGAGTAGAACTGCACTCCACAGGGTTTTCAAGACTGTGATGTGACCTTTTGGAAGCAGATTGCCAGGTCTTTCTTCAGAGATGCCTCTAGGTAGGTTTGAACCGCCAACCTTTTTTGTTTAGTAGCGAGCATGTAACTGATTGTGTCACCCAGGGACTCCAGGCAGTCTGTAGACGCCCAATGAATGGTGCAGAAGAAGGGAGCCTGGGAAATGGCTGAAGGCTGCTCACTCAGGGAGGCTTCTAAGAGGAAGGGAGCCTCAAGTCTGTAGGACCAGATTATAGGAGGTCTTGAAGCCAGACTGAGGGGCAGTGGCATTAGTAGGCAACACATTCCACCATCCTCAGTACAGGATGTTGAGCAAAAAACTATTATTCAAAGAGCATCTTTGAAAGGTTAATTGCATTTATACCTACTGAGGCTGCAGGAGTTGGAAGTGGCCACTGGTCGGGGAGGCTTTGAATCCTACCCATAGATGCTCTGCAGCCTAGCGTCTCCCAGGGGCTTCTCTCAGAGAATCCAGCCCATCACTGGAGAAGCCAATATTCTCTACAGCCAGGGCTACTGCCAAAGACATGCCAGGACCACCCCCAATGCCCTTCTCTCTGACTCGTAAGAACCCATCTCTGGCCAAGGCCAGCTTTTCTGTGATAAATTGAGAGGCAGACCAAGTAGTTCCAGGTTTTCACCTGAAGCCATTTCTCCTCCTACACTGCTACACTTCAGCTCGGGCCCAGCCCAGGGGGCAGGGGATTCCTGCTGCCAAGGGGGGCCCTGCAACCACAGGTGGAACCGCAGCCAGTGGGAACAAAGGGATAAATGAGAAGCTTGTGTTGAGCAGCAGATGGGCTGGGGAGGCGGAGGGCAGGCCAGGCAGGTGGCATGGTGACCGTGGCAGGAGTAACACACTCGGCTTTGTTCCTGGCCTACGTGGGCGCCCTACAGAGGCCGGGAGCCACCGGGGCTGGAACACCAACTGCCTGCCAGGGTTAGGTGATGGCACGGAAGAGGGCAGTGAGAGTTCAGTGGCCAGTACGTGCTTCCTGTGCCCCCCAACCCCGGAAGAAGAAACAGGCCACCTGGAGCTGCTACACAAAGAAGCAGGCTCTGCTTTTGGCCAACCAGGGCTGGGAAAGGGTAGGAAGGAAAAGATTGACAGGTTACTGCCATCCCTTCCAAACCACTGGAGATTAATCTTGGCCAAGTAGTGCCCTTCCAAGTCCCTGGAGGCGGGGTTTAGTTCTTTAGGACATGAGACCCAGTCTCCTCATAAAGTCAGTGTTAAGATAAAACAAGTCCACAATCCCACAGGGAGCCCTGATGGCACAGTGGTTAAGAGCTCAGCTGCTAACCAAAAGGTCGGCAGTTCAAATCCACCAGTCAATCCTTGGAAACCCTATGGGGCAGTTCTACTCTGCCTCGTAGGGTCGCTGTGAGTTGAAATTGACTCGACAGCAACGGGTTTGGTTTATAATTCCCCAGAGCTGGGTACAGAGGAAGGGCTGCTCCCAGGGCTGGTCCATCTCCCAAGATTCTCAGAGGTGTTAGTCTGCATCTCCTGACACAAGACACAGTCTCAGAGCTGGAACTGGCTCAGAGCATCCCCATGTTTTTCCACAGAGCACTACTGGCCCTCTGGGTGGGACAAGTCTCCATCATGCTGGCCTGTCCTACCACAGTGCAAGGTAACAAATCTGTCCTCCCTGCACTGCTACAGCTGAGTGTTCCCAGTCACCATGACAACCCAAACACCCCCCCGCCACACACACACATTTCTACACACCCTCGTAGGGCTGTGGTCTTACCCCCGCTGGGCACCCTGGTACAACCCCTTTGTAGTACAGATGAGTAAACTGAGGCCCAGAGGGAGAAAGGACTTGCCCAAAATCAGGCAACTAATTTGTAGCAGGGCCAGGACCATGACCCAAGGAAGCCAACTCCTAGCCCACACTCTTCCCAGCGCCTCCTAGGGACTCAAAAACAACCTTGGAAGTATTTGATTCTGCAAAGAAGAGTCTCACTCCCCTCCGCCAGGTAGACACACCTCTTACAGACAATGCCAGGCACACAAAGGCATCAGCGAACACTGGCTGAACTGAAGTAACCTCGAAGGAAGTGTGGGGAAAGAACTGGGAATGTGGAGGTGTCTGGAATGCTTCCAGCCACCTCTCTTGGCACAGACAGGCAGACGCAGGCTGGGGCCCCAGTGGGCTTCTGTGAATGTGACACCCCAAAATCTTGGACCTTTGGCCCAGGATTTCACAATGCTCTTCAAGGACCAAAGAGAGGTCACCCTCCTCAAAGTGCTCAGCTTCTCCAGACAAGGTGGCGAGCCAGGAGCCTCGTCCACGCAGACGGTAGCTGACGGTTTGGAATCAGACTGTCACTACTTGTGCCACTGATGTTGGGCAGGTCACACAGTCTCTGCACCTCAGCTTCCTCTGCCTCTCATGAGGCTGTCATGAGTCGTAAATGAAATAACATGCGTGAGGTGCCTCAGAGCTAGCCTTCAATAAATGGCAGCCCAGTGTGTTATGTATGACTATCACCCTTCCTGTCCAAGGACTTGCGCTCTAAGAACACTAGAAAAGTCTTGTCAGGGCAGACCAGGAGACTTGACAGTGCTCCCTTTGCCAAGGTCCAGGAGTCCCTGGGTGGTGCAAATGGCTGCTAACCGAAAGGTTGGAAGTTTGAATCTATCCAGAGGTGCCTCAGAAAAAAGGCCTGGTGATCTACTTCCAGAAATTGAAAATTTCTTTCAGCCATTGAAAGAAAACCCTATGGAGCACAGAAAACCCTATGGAGCACAGGTCTACTCTGACACACATGGGGTCGCCATGAGTCAGAATGGACTTGATAGCAACTGGGTGCCCAGGTCCAGAACCACTCATGGACCCTGGACAGGGTCCAAGCCACCACAGCAAAGGAGAGGCCTGAGGGGAATAATCAGGTGATGAGTGAGATGTAGGAAAGGGGGCCCTGGTGTTGCAGGATCTGCAGACCACCTGCCACAAAACTCGACCTAGGCAGGGCAAGGAGACTGCATGCCTCAGAGGGACTCCAGCTCAGCTCCAGCCACCCCCACTTCAGCCTCCAGCATCCCCTCCTGGGACTGGAGCTGCTTTGTGGCTGTGGTAGCAATTCTGCATTCCTAGACTGCCACTCAGAGCCCCCTGTGCCCCATGACAGGGCCTGGGAAACATCAAAGCCGGCCCCGCAGGGCCCTCTGTCCTGACGTCAGCTCACAGCAGGTCCTAGTTAGTGCTTGACTGGGGCAGACTTTAGATGCTACAAAAGGCAAGGAGAGCAGCTATAAGGCCTTCTCCAAGCCCCCACCAGACAATGGGCCCACCTCAGTCATAAAGCTACTTGCCTGGGAGGCTGGCCCAGAGCTGTGGCCAGCACCCACATGTGCTTAGAGGGCCACACCACACATCACTCCTTCCTTACATGTAAACCAAAAAAACAAACCCACTGCCATCCAGTTGATTCTGACTCGTGGCAACCTCATGAATTACAGAGTAGAACTGCCCCATAGGGTTTTCTTGGCTACAATCTTTATGGAAGCAGATCACCAGGCCTTTCTTCCACAGTGCCACTGGGTGGGTTCAAAGCACCAGCCTTTAGGTTAGTAGGTGAGAACAAAACTTTTGCGCCACTCGAGGACCTTTCCTTATGGAAACCCATGGCCAAAACGTCCCTCAAGGCAGCCACTCAGTGCAGTCACTTGTGGAAAGACAAAGTTTTGCTGCTGGCAAACAGTCCTGCTCTGCAGCCCCCTAGCAATGCCACCTTAGCCTGGCCTCTCTGCGCCTTTTTCCTTGCTGTGAAATGGGGATACCATCCTCCCCACAGGCTGCGTGAAGGCTAAGTGGGTTCAAGCATGCAAAGCCCAGAGCACAGTACAAAGCACACAGAGAGTGCTGCTTCCAGGCCTGAGCCTGCCCCCTAAGCAGAGTAGCCTCAAGAAGGCCCCCAGCAATGACGAGCAGGCAGAGCCATCTGTCCATACCAGGTGCCGACCCCAACAAAGCTGGGGCTGGGAATACCCAATAAGGACATTTTCCAAGCCATTTCCTTGGCTCCCTAACAGCCATCTATATGCAGACACTCACTCTGCTGTGCCTCTGGCCCCAGCCCCTTAAGAAAGGGCTGTGTGGGCAGCAGCCCAGCTCCTGCACCCTGCTCCCCAGCCCCACAAGAGCCCGTGTCTGGTTTGGTGCCCACCCTTTCTGCTGTCTGGGCTCCAGGCCCAGCAGAACCATGTGTGTATATGTGTGCGTGTGTGTGCACACATTATGTGTAAACATGAGTGTGAGGGACATCAGACTGCAGCAGGAAGTTTTTCCTAAGTATTCCTGCTCTGAAGTAATCTGGGCCACTCAACAGCCCACCCGTCAGGGGCCAGTCCTCCTAGTCTTGGAAAAACACCCCAGGGCCTGTACAATCCCCAAACCTGTTAAACGTGACTGGCTGATCCTATCTACCTCCTGTCCCTCTTACTAAAGAAAATTCCATCCATAGGACGGATGCCTCAGGAGCTGGGTGAGACACCAAGACTCTGGCTGAGCAAGGAACTTCATCTCCACTGCCCAAAAACCCTCCAGGAGTGTGTTCCAAAAAGTATGAGCATTTTAC